GGCATGGCTGAGAAGGACAACACAGGAGCAAACAGCCAGACCGCTAATAGATCAGAAGGGTCTTTTAGCTTCATATTAACCGGGTCTAATTGCACAGGGTCAGTTTCTAATCTGCCCGTGAACACCATAAAGAGCCCCACACCAGGCTTCACCGTTTTGAGTAGGCAACAGAAATGAGCGCACTGGGCGCACACGATCTCGTCAGCCAAGATTTACAATGCTACGCGCCCCAGAAAGAGGTGAAATGTCAGACTGAACGCCGCTTGCCTCTCATCTCATGGGCGTGCGCCCCGACATGGTGGAGAGAATTGTCTAGCGTACGTCAAAGTAGCAGCGAGAATTGTTCAAGGCGATGTGTGTAATGTGTGCAATCTGTTGCTTGAATCCGAGTATGAAGGTCGATAAAAAATATTAAAACGTAGAAAAGAAATCTGTGCGTGTTATTTATATATTTTATTTTGTATTGAGTGAGATGCAAGACCAAGCTGCCTCTATTTCGTTTGCGTTAGTGTTTTCATTCGTTTACGTTAGTATTCTCATCGTTCTCGTATCGTGCCGGCGCCAGCCCTCACAACGCTTGGCGTGATTTAGTGCTTCGTCCCTTAGAGTAGTTCTAGTGGTCCGAGGCTGTGTATTGTGGTAAGGACACATGATCAAAACTAACCTGTCCAAACCTGTGCGCATCCTACAAACAGGCAGTACAATACAGGGAATGCCGTTACAGGAATGCCAATACAGGAAATTTCAACACAGCACCGCTGGCGTACACCACTTAGCTTAGGCAGGCCATATGAATGTCACCTTGTGTGCGCATGACATGTTGGACCAAATTTATGTGATCTTCCAGCTCAGAGTTGCTTCGACACCGAAGAGGGCCAGAAATTTGGCTAGCCAAGTCCACACAGCACGAGTGGCAAAGGTTTCAACTTCATTTCCTTGTATCGTGCTTTCGCGGCTCGTAATAAACTAATTGAGGAATTCTTGTGGTACAAAGCTTTTCATTGGGCCCGCAAACGCTTCCAGTGTCTAACTAAATTTATCATGTGACCAGGTGAAGCACCCTCTAAGAAGTAAATGACAAAACAAAAACCACGTGGCCAGTGTTTTTTTTTTTTTACCTACACTCTACTTCCCCTTTGATGATTTTGCATTCGCTCTCCATCGTCCTGCGACTGCGCTGAAGCACCTGCTGTTCCGTATATATGCAAGCAGACACCAGGGAGATCGGCATGCATGTTGGCGAAGAAGCGTTGTGCTTCTTAGCCAACACGCAGCTAACTTAGCCAACTTCTGAGATGGAATATAGCTTGCCCACCATATAGTTCAGAAAGCTCTATTATGTTGCAACATTAATTGTGGTCTCTAACACGTACTCAAAAGCAAAATTTAAGGTGCAATAGTGTTCAGATAGGCAAGAATCTAGAATATAGGCATTTATAAGTACTTATAGGCACTTATAAGAAATAGGCACTTATAGACCTTATAAAAACACTATAAGAGCCCTTCTTAACCCCTAATTCCTGCTTATATATAAAAGCGGCATAACAGGAACGCAAGGAACAAAATAGGCCTTTAGTTATAATCATGTCTTTAGCGATGACATTCAATTCTTCATCAACTTTCTTCCAAGTCTCTGCATTGTAGTTGTAGAGGACTGAGCACAACCCTCTTAGATACAACGTGCCAAAAAGCTTGCAGGAAACATTGAGCTAAAGAGCCATTTGCCACTTCCAGAAGCACAGTTTTTATACCTACGCAAATGAAAATTATCATAAAAGCTTTATGTCTCCTTTTGTTTTAGATGTGAAACTTGCAATTAATTGTGAGCAATCTTTTTTTCTCTATTCACGCAGGCAAAGAGAAAATGATTTGATGAGTTGACAATAATGTCCAGAACTGCTACACTTTTTTCTCGTGTTTCGGAGAAATTTAGCTGGAGTCTCAGGGCAGATGTGATTGGAAAAAAAAGGCTTGATTCATCTATAGCCTACAGAAATGAAATTCTTGCTGTGTGTATATATATATATATATATATATATATATATATATATATATATATATATATATAAATATATATATATAGATAGGCTTTCATGTTGATTTCAAATATGTAATCAGTTTTACAGTAAGTTGCACAGTTTTCATTTTTTGTAATGACAATGTATACAGTGTACTTCGTTTAGGACGAACTTTTTCTACCACTTAGCTTTTATGGTTCTGAGCCATTAATGGCTCATATTGGTCTACATTAACTGTAGAATGCAAATAACTACGAAGAAAGTACATATAGAATATTTTTATAGTCAAGAAAAATTGTGAGAATTTTTAGAATCCTCAGCCCATACTAACTACTTACTTTCAGTTTGTCATAATTATACAGGCAATATCATGTTTTAAAGGAGACACTAGCACCCTTCACATTTAAGGAATATGTGTGTCACACAGTCCCGTTAATTAGGGAGGCTATCGCCGGGCTAATTCCAAGGGCCGAAGTATCGGCCCCCCGAACAGCACCACGAAAGCGTGGACAATTTAGAAGTGGTCCTTTTTGGCGCGCCAGCGGACGCCGGCTGTGGCCCAAAGAACAAGTCAAAGCCGAGAGTTGATAAACAAACAAAATTATATTCTCAATAATGGCAGATCGAAAACAATACACAAGAATGCACACTCCACAATAGTTGCATACAATATGTCACCAATCAAACAACGTACTACACAGTACAATCAGCCACACTCGAAACAACGGACACAGACAACAATACGCACTACAATGCAGTTGCATGCACTGAACAACCAAGACACTTAAAGACTAAAGAGATAAAAAACCTATTCTGTCCAAAGTTCTTGGAGCAAAAGTCTGGATGATACTCTTCCGAGAATCACTCACTCAAAGTCCAGCGTTGTTGTCGTTCCGCTGCCCCTGAAGTTTCTCTTCCAGGAAACCTCGCGTCTTCAGTTGGCCTCTCTCCAAGCTTCAAACTTCTTCGCCGGAAACACGTCGGCTTCACACACGCAGCTGTTGCCATGCGTCCTCGCTCGATAGCGGTAGACACACGCTCTTGCCTGTAGCTCGAGCCTTCACCCCTCAGGTGGAAATCCTCTTCTTCTTCTCCTGCTTTGTCTCTGCGGACAAAACCTTCGCCGACTACACGGTGGAATACCCTACGCGCTCTGGCGCTAACTTCCGTCTTCTCCTGCTCTCTCGTCTCGGCTGCTCGATTAAATACCTTCCGCGCGAGATTCCAGAAGGTTCTCGTCATTTCGTCGGCGCGATACGCAGCGAAGGCTCGGCAGAGGGCGAGACGGTTCGAATGCCCTCCGCGTCGGATAACTCAACTCGGCATGACCACGCCCTCTTTCGTTCTAGAAATTTCGCGGGCTTGCTCGGCCGCCGATGTGGGGTGAGGAGGTTCGTCGGCGAAGCCACGCTTCCGAGAGCGCGTGCCCGGGGAGCCTTGGATGTTTGTTCTCTTTTTTTTTTTCTTTTGACCTCCCAGCGTCTCTCCCGCGCGTTATCGCAAGAATTTGGCGGCGCGCCCATTTTTAGCGCTCGTTCTGTGACAATGTGGGTGAAATTTCAGCCTGATTGGGCTATCAGCAGTACCAGAAACATGATGTCCAAACTCAGGAAGTTGTCCAAAAGTGGATCTTGAGAAAATGCGTTTTAAATATTTAAGTTGAAAGCTCATCTATGCGCAAAAGATGCTTTTTTTAATGATTTCTTCCATCACAAGAGCTTAGCAATCATGGTTATGTTGAGCATGTGGCTTCAGTGAATTCCTCATGCAAAGTGCAATGGCAAGCAGTCAGGTGACAATGAGCTAATGCTCTTTAGAAGTGAAGTTAAGATACTTTGATTTAATTGCAATCTTCAGTTATTCTTTTTTCGTCGTGAAAGTAGAGAAACTAGACTTGCAAAAGCAAAGCAAAACAAAAAAAGTAATTTTGAAAAAGTTTTCGATTAGCATCTCCCGTTCAGATGGGGGACAATGTCGAGTGAAAGCAATGTTCCATTACAACAAAATCCAAACTTGGGCTAGTTGGGTGTGGATGGTATAACTGTGGTTTTAAGTGCACGAAGAAGCACAAAGAAAGCACTTGTCCTGTGTTCCTTTGTGCTTCTTCAATGCTAAAACCACAGTTATACAATGTTCCTTTGTTCCTGTCTTAGCCCATTTGAGGTCATAACTGCCAAGTCAGTTTTCAATCAGGTAGTGACAAGGGAAGGGCGTGGCTGTTCTGACGTCCCTTTCAGGGCCCGCATATAACTATTCCGTAGGCCGTAGGTTGCCGAGCCCTTGCACAAAATATCAATGTGCCGAAAACAAAATGTACTGACTTACACTTCACTCAGACCTGGTCCCATTTTAGCACGAGTTTACGTCATTCGAAACTGTATCCCCACGACCTGACATCATCTTTAGTCACTTTAATATAAACAACAACAAAAAAGATCACTTGCACACTTTATAGAACGGACCGAATAACGTCCTAAAAGAGCATTTCGTGACCCGGTCATCTCATATCTTAGCAAACAAGCCAAGTTCATCGCACAATTTGAGTCAGTACAAACGATTGCACTGTTCAGAAAAGAAAACTAACTAAGCAGATAATGAAACATTAGTGCTTACACAGTGTGCTAGATGGTGCAACTTCATTAATTCTGGCACGGCACGTTTGGGCCCCCAGTCACCCATGTTTTATAGGCATCACCCATGCTTTCTAGGCAAGTAATGAAAAAGATCAAGCAGATAAGGACTGAGACCAGCAAGATTTGATGATGTTTATTTTTCGCCATCACAGGCAGATTGGCACAAAACAATCTACTGAAACACCTGAAACGCTATACTGACACTAGTGGCAGTATATTTAAAGCCCCCCCTCCCCCCCACAAAAAGTATGGAACTGCAGCTTTCATCTTTTTTTCTAGTTATCAATAAAAATATTATGAAAAGATACATTATCGCTTTCAACTTTATATGACAGAATGAATGACTGACCTGTGGGCCGACGAGGAACCCGCCAAAGAAGTAGGAGTGCCCCATGACCTCCAGAAAGGTCGGCACGTTGGCGAGGGCAGTGCGCTTCTGGTCATGCGGCAGCGTTTCCTGCATGTACATAAGCGCAGACTGCATAACTCCACATATGCTTTCTTTTCTTTTTTTTTTCTTTAAAAGGCCATGAAAAGGCGCGTGAAAGGCCACCCAGAGAGTTTGCAAGCCAGCCTGATTGTTGAGTACAGTAGCATTCACCTTGAGACAAAAGCAGCACAGTAGACAGGACAGCATGTCATGGCATCAACGGTACACAAATGTTGCTTATTCACACCCATCCTAACTATGTACTCAAAATGGAACATGAAATCAGATGATAAAAAAATGAAATGCAAATAAACATAAACATCCATTGAACACAAATTTGATTGATATATGGGGTGTAATGTCCCAAAACCACCATATGATTATGAGAGACGCCATAGTGAAGGACTCCGGAAATTTCAACCAATTGGGGTTCTTTATTCTGCACCCAAATCTGAGCCCCCAGAGCCTACAGCATTTGCACTACCATCGTAAATGCAGCAGCTGCAGCCACGATTCCATACCGCGACCTGCGGGTCAGCAGCTGAGTACCTTAGGCACTAGACTACCGTGACAGAGTTGTTTTTTAACAAAAAAAAAGTGACTTCATTTTTTAGATAAGGGCTTTCCATGCTGCCAACGTTAGCCAGCTGTTGGCGCCATAGTAGGGTTGTAGCGTCTCGCACAACGCAGAATGCCTCAACACTGATCTGCGCTGGAGTGTGCGAGAAACAGCGCTGAGAGAGACAAGCCTTGTCATGCCTTTACGACAGAGACGAAGCTTCAAAGCATATGGATTTGCGCTGCACGCACGTCGCAGTTAACGTGAATGCCTTCGATTGATTGATTGATATGTGGGGTTTAACGTCCCAAAACCACTATATGATTATGAGAGACGCCGTAGTGGAGGGCTCCGGAAATTTAGACCACCTGGGGTTCTTTAACGTGCGCCCAAATCTGAGCACACGGGCCTACAACATTTCCGCCTCCATCGGAAATGCAGCCGCCGCAGCCGGGATTCGAACCCGCGCCCTGCGGGTCAGCAGCCGAGTACCTTAGCCACTAGACCACCGCGGCGGGGCAACGTGAATGCCTTCACTTTTTGTGCTCCGAACACTTTCAGGATAGTGATTGAGACGAGCCCCGCTTTGTTGCTGAAGTTTGGATTGCTAGCGAAACAATACCTAAAGCCTGATGCTTTCCCCTCCATTTTTTCCAGAGCAGATATGGTTATTTGGCGCATTTGTCTTGGAGTCCTCTCGAACTCGGGGGAGTTGCAATCGCCGCTCGCAGAACTACCATACAAGTTTCTACACGATGCGATGAGCAGCATCAGACAGTCACGATTCGGCACACATGGTGCAAACGAACAATGAGTGGCAAGCTCCACTAGAGTTAGTGAATATGCTACCTTTAGGTAACCGAGTTTAGACACTGTGTTCCGGAGGCCCCTTGCTCCACCTACAGATAGGGCGCCTCAATGTGCTCCTCCGGTACAAGGTGCAGGCCGTCTCTCTAGGCGCCATTTGGGTTCGAATGTTCCCGTTCACTAGCATTCCTGACATGCCCCTCTAGATCGCTTTCAGCAAAATGCACGTTAATTGGCTCAGCTTATCACTTCTGATGGTAGAGCTCGCACATATGTTAGAAACCAATAATCAATAAAAAGCACTATTAGGCACTAAATATTCAAAGTTAGACCTTTCATCGCGAAGCAAGGGCATTCTGAGCATATCTGTCGGTCTACTTGTTTAACCAGTGGTGTAGGTTTTGGTGCTATAACAGTTGATTGATTAACTTCATCTACACCAAAATCAGCCATGCCTATTTTGGTGTGAAGAACATAAATGACTGGTCATAGCATAAAACCATGATCTTGCATGCATGACATGTAAACCATTAGATAAATGACCTAGTCAACCAGCCCTAGCAGACCTTTTATTAACTTGATGTGCAACAAAATTTAAAAGATATATTAAGAGTGCATGGTAGACATAAATGATTGGTCATAAGCAAAAAGCATCTCGTGCATGTTATATGTGCAATGACACACATGACCTGGTCATGGACTGATAATAGCAGTTTAACTTGATGTGTATTAGAATATACACAGTATGAGAAGAGCGTATTATTAACAAGTATGAGAAGAGCGTATTATTAACATAAATGACTGGCCACAAAACGAACTTTTTATTATTGGCCTAATTCAAGTTAGTTCAATCCAACTTAATCAGAATTGCAGTGGTGAGAAACCTGTACCAATTGCGCCAACCTGTGCCAACTGGAAATTACTGCGCCATACTGCTCCAAAATGGTCTTTTTTGTCTGTTTTGCGGAATAGCTGTGCCGCACTGTGGTTTTGGAGCCCGAAAGCAATGTTGACAGCACGTATATGAGGATATTATCCTCAATTCACTGCCAGGACCACCAGAGCATTGCTTGTAGAAAGCTTGCATCATTGCACAAACAAATCAACTTTCTCGCCGCATCTGTGTGTGATCTGAAGTAGAGTGAGCACGAGCGGCTTGGCACAGTGTGTACAACAAGTAGGCGAAGCGCTTCACGCAACTAACCAGTTGACCAGTGGTTCTCAAATGGCGGTTCAGGAACACGAGGGGGTCCGCGAACACAAGAGGGTCCACGAAGCCAGTTCTATGAGCCGCGAAACCCTCACTTGTTGTTTTTTTTCTTTTTTAAAGTCACGCTTAAACTCTGAGTGCGACTGTGCCACATATTGATGAACTGTCCAAATTAAAGCGATGCGGCATGCTTGTTTAATGTTTTTGGTAGCAATAGAAGAAACCTGTTTCAAGCTCCAGTTGTGATAATTTACCCCCTCCCCTCAGCTGCAAGGAATCCCCCATCACTTCCACCAGTCCATGAGGGGTCCTTGACACATCCATGTCTGAGAACCGCTGCAGTAGACGATCGTCCCTGTGTTGCAGACAACCTGCATTGTCTACAACACAGTGACGACTGCGTTGTCTACAACACAGTGACAACACTGGGAAGGTGGTTCAAGCACGGTTTCGCGCGAGCTTGAATTCGCACAGGCTTGAACGAGTCCAAGCAATTTTTGAACCACAACGTCCCCCCGCCCCCCCCCCTACAACCCTACCACGACTTTTTTTATTTTACAGTGGGGTTAAGTTTAGTGTACAACTTCTAGACTCGCTTGCAAGGCACGTTCCACCCGATAAAGTACAACTGCGCATGCCCATTAGTCCAGCGACGGATAATTGTCGCCGGGACGACGCAACTTCAAGCCAGAAAAATGGTTGATGTTCTGTTGCTTTGGCAAACAACGTAGCATTTGTCAACGATGGCACGTTTTTAACATGCTATACCATGTTTGATATCAGACTAGGATATTCATATTTAAAATTCAATTTCAAAGTTCATATTTCATATATATGTATATATTGACACGTTTATATGAAAAAAAAACGATGATAGGAGTGTTTTGTAGATTCCAGCTAGTGGGTCAGGTGGTTTTTCGGGACGACAACGAAGCAGGCGTCTTGCTGTACAGCTGACCCTGAATACGCTCTTTTCGCTGCCGTAAGCTGCCGTCATCTTTTGTTCGCGTTGCACTGCGACACTGGTGGAAGTGCTGGGCCCCGACGCTGCCCGATGCTTCACACTCCTAGTGGGAGCCGTTCATCCAGCCCGGACGTGCCTACTGCAACCCCTAGCTGTCCATCGATTCAGTCGTCGGCTACGAGGTAATCCTCCAGACTGCAACCCCTCGCAGAAAACCTCTACCAGACATCTAGAAATGGCTAACACCAGCCCCCAGCCTGTACTTCTCGGCACCAGTCCTCCCGCTCCATCCCAGGTAACGTTTTTTCAATCGCTGGAGCCTAAACGCTTTGGTGGTGGCGCACACGAAGATGTAGAACACTGGTTAGATCACTATGACCGTGTTGCGAAGATCAACCAGTGGTCTGCTCAGGAAAAGCTTGGCTGGGCCTACTTCTGTCTCGATGACAGCGCTCGTACTTGGTACGAGAAAAGAGAAGGCAACCTGTCCACATGGACCGATTTTCACCAGAAGATGGTTGAAACTTTTGCCAATGTCGACAGACGTGACCGCGCCCACCAACTACTAGAGCTAAGGGTCCAAAAACCCAATGAAACGGTCGCCATGTTCGCCGAAGACATGACACGTTTATTTCGGAGGGCTGACCCGCAGATGACCGAAGATAGGAAGTTGCGCTACCTCATACTGGCGTGAAAGAGCAGCTGTTCGCCGGACTTCTGCGCAACCCACCAAGCACTGTAGAGAACTTCATCAAAGAAGCGTCGGCTATCGAGCGGGCCCTTCACCAACGCTGCCGACAATATGACCGCCTGTGCAGCAGCCCCCAAATTCAGGCCGCCGTTGGGACGTTTGACAGTCATAGCTCCTTGACATGATTAGAGACATGATTAGAGAGATTGTTCGTGAGGAACTGCAAAGGCTGCGGACTCCGGTAGTGGATACACCCATGGCATCTGTCGCTCAAGTCGTCCGTGACGAAATCTGTCAAGCATTCTCGACAGCTGATCCTGCCCCCGAACAACGTCCCATGACGTACCCCGCCGCCCTTCGAAGCTCCCCACCCGCTCCGCCTTCATACTACCCGCCACCTGCAACTGTTCCTTGGTCACCACCACAGGGGGAGACATCGTGGTGCCCACCCATCCAGCCCCCATACGACCAGTCGTCTTCTGGCCTGCCATGGCCTTCGTCACCTGAGGAGTCATCACGGCAACCACAGGTTCGCCGAACAGACACCTAGCGCACTGTCGACAGGCGTCCACTCTGTTTCAACTGCGGAGGTGTAGACCACATAGCCCGCTATTGCTGGCACCGCGTCGATCCGTCTCACCCTCTCAGGCCACGGTTTGACAGTGGACATACCAACGACTACGTATGCCACCGTGGCGATGTCGGTTCTCAAGGACCTCTGGTACTTCGACCCCCATCCGACGGCCGCCGTAACAATGATAACGAGATTATAACTGATTACGAGCCGGTCTTCCGA